TTTTTTCAGAACTTCCATAAAAACGGGAATAATTAAATAAACTAATAAATATCTAACAATGCATTAATTTTATTTTTTGTTTTTTTATATATATTGGAAAAAGACGTATTATTGTTATAAATACACATCTATATTCTATATATGTAATAAGAATAATCATTTACTAAAAAAATAGTAATAAAAAATTTTGAGAGCATTTAATGCATACCTGTTTGGAAATTTTTTAAATATATGCATTAATTGTTTCCATATACACGTTTTCAAATAAGATCAAATCAGATATGATAAAAAATATTGTTTGCTTAAATAATGTTATTAATATCTGCAATAATTTCATTGATCCATTATAATAAATTACAAGATTGATTTTCCGTGATTCATGTTGATACTATTTTAGTCAAGATAAATATTACAACATATTTTAAGTTCTAACCATAATATTAATTTTTTTCCACAAATATTCACTTTTTATCCAAAAATATTTATAGAAAATTGTAACAGGTTAGCTAGAATTTTTTCTTCCAGTTCATCAGACAAAATTAAGTTGGTGAATTAATCATTGCCAGTATAATTTTTTCTTAAACTTTATTTCATTATATATAAAAAATAAATTATTCTTCAAATTAAATAATTTACCATTTAAGAGATCATAACCAGATACATTAAATAGTTTTACTAATGGTCAAAAATTAAAATTGAATATATTATATGTTCTTTAAAAAAATCTTGATTATAGCATAGATTAAGTTTTTGGAATTTTTCTAATCAAAGTTGTTTAATTAATATACAAAATTAAATTCTAAACAAATATGTGTGTATATTTTATAAAATATTTATACAGTATTTAATTCTAAAATTATTTACATATTTTAAATTGATTACATAAATAAATAATACTAACATACATTAAATATTTTTCACTACATAGAATAAAAATAAAAAAAGACGTACGAAATCTATAACTTTATATAAATAATAATGACATTATATGACAACAAAGTTTATAATATAATAATTAAGTATTATATGTTGAACAAGAATAAGTAAAACTGTTATTTTCTCTTACATCAAGTAATATATATATATATATATATATATATACTAAAATCAAATTTAAATTAGTATAGGTGTTAGTGAGATAATATATTAATTATTTTACAAGTTAGCCATAACCTGCTCATATTAAATATTCTGGCTAAAAACAACATTGATTAAAAGAGGTGGAAAATAGATTATAACATTATTGTTCTTTATACTTAACGTTGATTAAAAGAGGTAGAAAATATATGATAACCCTATTGCTTTTTAAATTTAAACTAACATAGAGCCTGTGAAAATAACTCATTTAATATATCAGTCTTGTGCATCGCATGGGCTACGTACTAGTCATATCTAATATGTCCAATTATTTTTCAAAACACACATCATTACTTATTCGCAAATCCCTATATCAGAGATATCACGAACCGTTCTTCACTCAGGTCCCGGTGACCTGCAAAATACATCGGCAGGGGTCTTGGCGGTAAGTTTATCGACGCTAAAGTTAGGTATTGACCGTAAATTATGATTATATTTGGTAAAACTAGCTGATAAGCAAACTGATAGCTGGTAAACTAGCTTATAGCTTATATGGAAAGTTTGGGCTTATAGCTTATAACTTATGACTTATAACTGAAAAACTAGCTTATATGATAAATGTGTTTGGCAAAATTAGTTTATAAGCTAGCTGAAATAAAAAATTCAACTAGCTTATTTGAAAAGCTACCTAAAGTAGCTTATGAGATAAGCTCGAGTTTTTTAAAACAGTTTGTCTACCAAACGAGACTTATTTGAATACAGGAAGCTTATAAGCTAGCTTATTTGGCTTACCAAACATAGCCTATATGTGTACTGAAAAATGTAATATACGATAACTTATACAGAGTCTGGTAATTACCTACTTTTATATGGAGGTTGTCTACTAGCCCATACAACTTCATTACTAGGAAAAAGATCTTACCATATCTCGTTTCCTTTAGTACATCTCTCAAATCTCCCACCTTTTAGCGAGATACTCTTGCTCATAAGTAAAATTTTGTTCCCTCTTCTGCCAGAACTCAAAAAGTCCTTGGGTCAACTCGCCGACCTTACTACCATACACCCCTACTACTTATCAGGTTGTGCAAGCAACCTCTATTACAAACTCCAGGTTGTGATAACCCATCCTTTGTTCGAGCTCTTATACGAGCCCAAATTGCTAACTCGTAACCAGAGTTGGCTTATACCTCGAGCTGCCACTACGAGCTCCTTAACAGAGTCAAGAACTACTATTGAGCTAGAAGCTGCCTTGGACCGGTAGAAACCAAGCTAATCACTCTGATTGATCCGCACGAGCTAATATGACTGTTATTTCAATTACACTTTCTTATAGGATGAATGAGAACTAGATTAATCATTGAGCCCATATTTTAATTTGTTAATATTTTTAAATATTATATAGTACTTGAAACAACATTTTTATACGTACTAATTGTTATATATTTAAATATTACAAAAATATAAATAGTTAAATTAATTAATATAATAATTTATACAAATTCAAATACATATTTTTATTAACACTAATTAAAAATTATATTTAAGTATATTTAACTAATCCGCTGGCGAAAAGTTCAACCCAAAAAACCGAAGTAGTTAGTTAACCAGTTCTCGACCCAATTGATCTAACTGACTCGGTTAAGTTGTAAAAATATGGATGAAACACAAAGATAATTGTTTTAATTAAATCAGCGACATAGGCAAATATAAAGAAAATACGAAGTGACATCACTACCAACACATTTATGGTTTTTAAGGTTTTTTCTTATTTTTTATTTTGAGAAGAGAAAAAAAGAAGTTTGTAAGGATTAATTCCACAGGAAAAAGAGCAATGGCAATACCAAAACTTTACAGAAGATACACGTGATACAATATCAAACTAGTAGACTTTCACGGATGAAAGGAAAAGAGAAGAGATAATATTAACTACATCTTATTGTGTCTATCATTATGAGCATGTAAGAAGGTTGGTACACTTCATGGTAGCGACTTAAAGCCTGACTTCATAGTTCCTCATGTCTTGTGAGTTGTGACTTAATCATAGGGTAGAACTTATAAATTTGACTTTTCCATGTGGTCACAACTCTTAATAATAATAATAATAATAATAATAATAATAATAATAATAATAATAATAGTTCCTCATGTCTTGTTGAGTTGTGACTTAATCATAGGGTAGAACTTATAAATTTGACTTTTCCATGTGGTCACCACTCTTAATAATAATAATAATAATAATAACTTGATCCGACGTCCTTCTATCCATCTTTAAACTGGTGAATTTACGTGCAAAACAATGTCGTGGGTTGTCCCAGTGTAGAAACAATTCGACGCTTAAGCCATTAAACAAGAATGAAGATGAATTGCATGTGTATGTGTCTAAAATATTAAGAGTGTGTAGAGAAATGATGGTCACACCTCATCCCTTATTAAGGTGTTACCTTATTGCCTTATTGCCCAAGATTTGCCTGATCTTGTTGCCCAAAGTGCTCGAACTACCCGATACACAGCCCGAGTGCCCGAACTGCACAATTCTGTTACACACCCTTCTTATCCTAATTATATTCGTACTTATCGATCTCGTGCTGTGTTGACCTCGAGTTTTCATGTTCTCAGACCTTCAACAGAACACCGCTCGAGCTAATCTCATCTCGCACACGACCTGATTGTTGGTATAGTGTACCATATCATTGAGTCCCCTTACTTAGGTTGAGTTAGGATGACTCGGCCTAAGAGTAGAACCAGATATCTTCAATTATTTTGTTAACGACGTACTTCCCCATAAATTGAGCTGCTTTTTCTCCCTCCTCATGTGGTGTAGCGCAGCTTATGAAATAGGGAGGCTAAGATAAAAATCTCAAGAGAAATATTCTTCTGTTCAAAAACCACCGAATGAACCAAAGTACAAGCGAGGAATAAAAGAGTTTGATCCTTCTAGGTTCCCTAACTTGCTAGGTCAGTAATAATTATTTTCTAAATATTCTAAATGTTAGAATATCACTTGTGAGTTGTCCACATCATTTATACATGGAAAATAGACCCACCTTATAAGTCTAATGGGCTACTCCTCCTTCCACCAATTGGTTTTGGGATGGAACCCCACTTGGGCTTCATATGGGTCTTCCCCGCTTATGGTGCGGTTCATGTTAGTGGGACCACACCCATGTTCCCCAAGTTTCTTACATGGTACCAGAGCCCAGTTCTATTGGTGACCGTGCGATGACGTACCCGTCACCCAGCAGTTGGACTTAGGCTTTCGAAGGACTCACGAGTGAGGGGACGTGTTAGAATATCACTTGTGAGTTGTCCCACACAGCGGCGGATACAAAAAATTTCGTCAACCTAGGCAAAAACAAAAGTTTAGAAAATATTTCTTGGTATAACAATATCAGATTCTAAGAAAGTAATGTTTTAATTTGAAAAGTATATAATTCTTGTATGAGGTGGTCGAATCTTTAGGCATGTAAAAAGATACTTACTTATGTTATGAAATATCATAATTTTATTTATATTGTTGTTTAAACTTTGACTTTCAATTTAATAACATGCATATATAAAAAATATTGAAAAAAGTATAATTGTGTAAATGTTAAGCCTGATTGAAAACAACTTTATTATACATACACTAAGCCTTAAAAAATGAGATCTCAACTAAACTTTTGAAGTTGCTCATTAAAAGCGGGCTTATATTACCGTAAGAAGCGCTAGAATATCAAAAATTCTAATTTGATACTAAATAATTAATGATCTTGCAATTTATAAGAATTTCATTCAATTATTGAGAAAATATAGTGTGTTTTTATTGATTTATTTTCTTTTTGTTTATGATTATAATGATTTTTACTGTCATTTAATGATTATTGAGAAAATATAAAGTGTATTGTTATTCATATATATCCTTTTGCTTATGATTATAATTATTTTTTTATGGCATTTAATAATATATATATATATATATAATAAGAATTACTATTTATAAAAAAATAGTAAGTCAAAATTTTCGGTCAACAATAACTACATTCTATTTTCGGAAATTGTTTTTCTTTTTTCAACATTAATCGGCCAGCATTAATTGCAGGCTATAATTATTGGTTTTCGCTTAATCCGATATAGTTTAGAGCTTTAAATTCTATTTTATACTACCTCCTATTCTTTTTAAATGTCATTTTGACTTTATTAACTATTAACAAAATAAATGTCATTTTAGATCTTTTGTACATATTTTTCCATTATTACCCTCATTTAGCTAATAAATACACTACGTCTTTTCATATTCACTCTTCATTTTTTCCCAAAACATCATTCTCTATCATCATTAAAGATGATTATTATTGGAAAAAAAAATATTCTTAATTACTGCGCAACTTCTTAAAACGACCCTTATTATGAATAGGAGGAAGTATTTGATTTAAAAAAAAAAACTGTTGCAATTTTAATGTGTGAGAAATATGATTGACATACAACTTCTTCCAAAAGATGTGGTTGCATTATTTCACATTTAACCAGTTGGCATTAATTGTGGTTTTTTTCTTGCGATAGTTTACAGCTTTACAATTCTATTTTTTGATTTCAAAAAAGCTGGTTGCAATTTTCATATGTGAAAAATCCGATTGCTTACAAACTTTATTAAAAAAATCTGGTGTCGTTATTTATTTTTGATTTATTAGTATACAAACTTAATTTCTAAAAAACATTTGTTTATATTTTGTAAAATATTTATACACTATTTAATTTTAAATTTATTTACATATTTTAAATTGTTACATAAATAAATAATACTAACATGCATTAAATAATTTTCATTACATAAAATAAAAAGAACAATACGACGTAAAACTCCTATAACTTTTATAAATAATAATGACATTATATGATAACAAAATTTATATAAAATATAATTAGCTATTGTATGGTGAACAAGAATAAGTAAAACTGTTATTTTCTCTTATATCAAGAAATAAATATATATACTAAAATAAAATTTATATTAATATAAATGTGTTAGTGAGATAACATACTAATTATTTTATAAGCTAGCTCTAACATGCTCGTATCTAATGTTCTGGCTAAAAAAAAGGTTGATTAAAAGAGATGGAAAACAGATTATAACCTATTGTATTTTAAACTTAACGTTAATTAAAAGAGGTGAAAAATGGATAATAACCCTATTGCTTTTTATACCTAAATGAACGGAGTCTATGAAAATAACTTATTTAATATTTTGTTCCGTGCATCGCACGGGGTACATACTAATTGATGAGATGTCAAGTGCCATTTTGATTCGGGCATATTAAACAGAAGTAGGAGCCATCCTCCTTTGCCCTATCTAATCTCATTTACACCAAATTTTCCCTAGTTTATTATGTAAAATAGTACTAATATACTTATCAAAGAAATTTCAGCCTAGGCAATTGCCTAGGCTAGTCCATACCTCCATCCGCCACTGGTCTCACATCGTTCATACATGGAAAATAGACACACCTTATAAGTCTAATGGACTACTCCTCCTTCCACTAATTGGTTTTTGGATGAAACCCTACTTGAGCTTCATATGGGCCTTCCCCGCTTATAGTGCGCTTCATGTTAGTGGGACTGCACCCGTTTTCCCCCAATTTCTTACACTAAACAAGCTAAATATGGAATAAGAGCATAATAATTAATAAAATAAAAATAAGGGGAAATAATCATATCAAAGCCTATCATCAGGTGAAAAATAAATTATAACCCTATTGCTTTTTACACTCAACGCTCATTAGAAGAGGTGGAAACTATATGACAACACTTTTGTTTTTTAGATTTAAACGGACAGAGACTGTGAAAATAACTCATTTAATATCTTTGTTTCGTGCATCGTACAGTGTACGTACTAGTGAAAGAATATTAGCCTAGATTTGATGTATGGAAATTACCATTTTTTTGTTCAAAGATTGTCCTTGCAGTGTCTCCGGACTTTTTTTAATATTTTTTTATTATTTTTTTTTTTAGCTATGTAGAACATGAAATGGTCTAGCTTCTTGTGCCACCACTTCTGACCATTGAGTCGAGTAACTTAATTGAGAAGGACAGAACCTGCTTACATGGAGAACGATAGCTAAGGCGTAAGCACATTCATCACTTAATGTCAAGATAATGTAATATTCACACTAATGGAAGGCATAATTATTACATCGTGTTAGAGTTTGCTCACTAAATGGTCCCATAAGCACCTGAACAAATAAAAAAGGACATGATCGTTACATCACAAATCTCCCTGTTTTAGGGGTTATCATTATATGCTACTTTTCC